CACTTGGAGATTATTCTTGACATGTCTTGAGAAATATGGGAGGGCAAATTTTGGGGTACAACAGGCGCGATATTGGAAGCTTGAAATATGATACATGAAGCTTGGACTTAGCATAAATTTAGGATACTAGGATTTGATTTCTTTTGTAAATTTCCCCTTGTAATATAATACTAGATACTTGTCTTTGAATAATCACGTAACCTTGTATTACAATATAGCTTGTGACGTATTGGATTTGAATTTGTAAAGCACAAGGTTTGTGACCTTTGAATCATGAATGGAGTTTGTAAATTTGTAGACAAACTTGGGTTATGCCTTGAAATTTTTGTAATCGTGACTAGAACATGTGCTTGAGATTCTTGATACCATAAGGAATCCATGGATTAATACCTTGAATCACACTACTTGATATCACTTGGAAATATTACATTCATCACACGTATAAACCCTTAAATCAAGATTCCATGAGAAAATGAATCCAATACATGCCATACCTGATTAACGAACTTTATCCTCCATTGAATTAACCTTTGACTTAAGCAACACATAGTTGAAAGAATAATGATGCCTTGAACATAAATAATCATCAAATTCAACATCTTGCACTATAACTCACATCTTGACTTGATGAAAAATGATCTCAACATAAAAAGTAATGCCTTTAAGAAAACCCTTTAATGAAGATAAAGCCATAATCTCATGCCTTTAATACAAGTTGATGAGGAAATGACTCGAGATGTAAAGAAGAGCCAAAACCCTAGCTTGAAGTACTCTCAGTCGAAACACTGATAAAACCTTGAGCATCTGTCTTTGATAAATCTTGGTAGAAGCGCAACCTGTAATTTGATGAGAAATAAGTCCACAATGAATGACCATATCAAAACCCTAGCTTTAAACCAATGATTGATGGAGAAACCAATTGAAACAAGCTTGTGCAAAGATGAGAGCCTTAAAGCCATACAGAAACCTTAATTCCTCAATATCCTTGTTCTCATGCTAAATTTATTGATTAGTGATGCATGAGGTGTTAATTGACCTAATTAAGGGTATGCAGATGAAATGAGAATGGAATGCATAAGCCAGATGAAAGTGGAAGGGTAGGACAAATTTGGGATATTACAGCAGCATTCATCACACACCTGTTTTGGTTTGTTCACATAAGGCAGCCCAAACAACATCCTTTTCTGATTGAACATGCATAAACTTCTAAAGTTTAGATGTCCATATTTATGGTGCCATATCCAGTTCTTGTCTTCTTATGTAGTTGAAGCAAGACATTTGTGATCTGATGTGTTGAGTTCAACTTTGACCACTTTGTTCTCCGCCAATGGTGCTTTCATTATTAGCCTCTCATCAACCTTATATACCTCCATCTGATTCTTCTCTAGCTTTATATTAATGCCTTTTGCAAGTAATTGACCTACATTTATCAAGTAACTTGTCATAGAAGGCACATACAACACTTCAGTGATAGTATTTTTTTGACTATCCTTCCTGATAATCGAAATATCTTCTTTACCACCTGATTTAATGTTCCTGCCATCTGCAAACTTTATCACCTTTTCGACTGACTAATCTAACTTGGTAAACCAGTTTTTATTACCAGTCATGTGGTTGTTCCATCCTGAATCCAGATACCACATGTTGTTTTTCTCAGTGTTTGACTGAGTGTTCACCATCAACAACACATCATCATAATCATTATCTCCAGCTCATGCGTATTGAACTTCATCGTTATCTTTCTCCTTTGTTGCTTTCTTTCTTCGACAGTCTCGAGCATATTGACTAAAACCTTGACAATTGTAACCTTGTACTTCTTTCGGGTGAACTTTCTTCCCAGAATACTTGTTGCCCACACCTTTCTTGATCGAATCAGTATTCTTGATTGACTTCTCACACTAGCAAGATTCTTTCGTTGCTTCGACTTTTCTTTTCCAGCTTTCTTGCTGAATCTTGATTACAATGCCTATTCAGCCACCTTCTCTCTTTCTGAGTTTCTCTGTTTCAACCTCATCTCATGAGCCTCTAGTGAAGCTTGAAGTTCTTCTAACTTCATCTCAGATAAAGTCTTGGGCTCTTCAATTGTCACAACAGTGTAGCCAAAGTCTGCAATCAAAGATCTTAACACTTTCTCAATCTTCCATAGATCCGTAACCGATTCACCACGTGCCTTCATTTGGTTTTTTAGCGTCACCATTCTTGAGAAATATGCAGAAATTGATTCATCTTCTTTCATCTGAAGCATCTCGTATTGCTTCCTTAGCGTCTGCAACTTCACCTTCTTCAATTTCTCATCTCCACCATACAAGTTCTTTAGCTTTTTCCAAGCTCCTTTTGTTATTTCTTCTTCAATTATCTTCTCAAACACATCAGAATCTACACACTGATGAATCAAGAACAAGACTTTACCGTCTTTCTTCCTTTGATCTTTGTGTGCAGTTTTCTGGGCTTCCGTTACATTTATTTCCAGTTCTGATACTTCATCATTCAAGATTTCAACAACATCTTGAAATCTGAAGATAACCTTCATTTGCGCAACCCACTGTTGATACTTTTCACCTTTGAAAATCGATAGATTCGTTGGAAACCGTGTTGACGTTGTTGTTCCATTTGCCATTAGATTCTCTCTGAATTGTAACCGGGTTCTGTTATACCAATTTGTTGAAACAAATGGTTTTCAAGAAAGATGATTTATGAAAGAGAAGAAGAAGAAGAAGAAGAAGAAGAAGAAGAAGAGAGAGAGAGAGAGAGAGAGAGAGAGAGAGAGAGAGAGAGAGAGAGAGAGAGAGAGAGAGAGAGAGAAAGAGAGAGTTTGTTATGATTCTAACTAAATTATAACTGTATTGAATGTGAGTGATGAATGTAAAATTACAAACTATGAAGCCCTATATATAGGCATACAATGTCCAGGCCCAATTCGACTCACTATGCTATAGTCCATTCTTAATTTTGACTAACTACAATACATCTGTTGTATTCGACTATAGCTTACAACCAATTCAATTAGATATTCGACATACATCATACACTTGCATTTCGACAGAACACGAATTATACTTTTAAATTATACTATGATATTTTTTTTTTTTTTTTTTTTTTATAATTTTATTAGAGTTTAAAGTTTAGGGTTTAGTAGTATTAAATAAAAATAACTTTTTTTTTAGAAAGTTGAAAATCTGTTTAAAGTAAAGTGAGAAAACGTTTAATAAGGTGTATATGATATGATTCATTATGTAAAGGTACTAGTTTCCTGTTTAGGGAAAGGTTGAGTTTCATCATTTGAATTCATTGATGGCAAAGGTAGTTTTGGGTGAATGAAAGTTAAATAAAAATGAATGGTAGAGGAAAGTGACGTCCGCCGACTACCTTACTTTATCCCATTCTTCCTTCTTTCATTTCACTAAAACTTCACTTTACCAGTTTCTCTTTTATGTCCATTCCTCAACCCTTCATTCCTCATTCATACACTTTTCTCACATCATTGCACTTATTTTGTCATTCACTTCTATTTCTTCAAACCTACCTTAAATAAATCCTTTACCTTACGCTCCTCTCAAGTAATTTCAAACCTCTACAACTACAACTACAATTTATTTATTTTATTTTTATTTTATAATATTAGGGTACTGAATTTAAGAGCCAGTGTATTTATGAGATGTAGAGAATGATGATGTATTTCTTGTTTTGGTTGGTGTTGTCAAGTGCCAAGAATTTCTCTACTTGGTAATGTCATCATGGCATGGACCTATACATCACATAGGGAACATGCAAAATATATATCTTATTGTCACTCCTTAGATTACACCAAAACTATACCACTTTTTATATATTCTACCATTTCTCTCACTTTTTTTTTTAACAATGACTTCAAAAAATAGCAAAATATTAATTAGGTTATGAGTATTATTTGCACCAAAAAAAAAAAAAGAAAGAGAGTTGATGAGTTTGCATAATTCTGTGTCTTGTTTGTTGTTTCTGTGTTAAAACAGTTGTATATATCTGAAAAGGACATTGAATTCATAACATGTTGAATGTTCCTGACCCTGATGACATCATATCTGAGTCTTCCTTTTTATTCTACACCTATTTATACTTGAGTAAATACTGTCCCACATCCCATTTTGAGGGCATATAGGGAATAGACAAACAGTAAATAAATTAAATTAAATAAAAAGCAAAAGAGAATTGGTGAAAAAAGTAAATATATATTATAAATAATCAAAAAAAAAAAATTAGGATTGTTTAGACTTAAATTACTGTAGTTGTACAAGAATTCATGCATGCTCTTCAACTTGATATAATGTGTTTCCAAGAAAGAACATGATTTAGAAAATTTCATCAAGAAGTAAAGTGCATATAAAAATTCAGTAGTACTAATTATGAAGAATATTTTTATGTAAGTCACATGCTTCATCATCTATATAGAAAATCAAAGATGGCCCAGAAAATTGTGTTTAATTATGAAATCAGTCAAATCAAACATTATTCAATATTTACATCAGTCAAAACTAAACAAGAATCATTGAAATTTTGACTGTAAGACTTTTAAGGTGATGAGAAAAACAAATTGACCAAAATTTTCATTTGATAAGACATTTATATTTTTATCAAGAGAAAAAAAAAGTCCATATCTTGCAGATTCATCACTTACATTATTTTCTTAATTATGATATGAAAATTACCAGTGACTTAGTTTTCATTTTCAACACATCTTAGACCAATTCCATTCAATGTGATTAGAATCAAATCAATCAAAAGCTACAAGATAGAACTCATATCCAACTTAAAAACAACAAATTACAACAAAGATAAACTAAATAATAATTAGGGTTCTTGAAATGCATAATAATAATAATAATAATAATGATATAAAGAGTCCTTGAATGCAAGAAAGTTAAAACAAATATGAAGTTGCACATCATTTGCAGTACTAGTCACTAAACTATATATATAGATATAAATTTGTTTGATAAATTGCACCTGGTGTGATATATAACTAGTTAAAGTCGAAGCTCCAAATCTAACTTCTCTTCATGGTGTTTAAACAACCCTATTCCTAACTCCAATGTAATGTTTTGCTCATTATTCATCAAAACATTGTGCTTCTTCACATCTTGATAGCTTTTCATGATTCCACTTCGTTGAGGATTCAAAAGAGGAAGAGATAGAGAAGGTGTGAGTCTAGGTTTCTTGTCATCATGGCTAGTATGAGGTAAGGAAGGTGAAGAAGAGGAAGAAGATAAAGAGAGATAATGTGAAGAACTGAAAATCTCATCATTAGATGAAGGAGTGGTAGGGTTAGGTTTATTATTATTACTATTAGGGCATTGATCAGAATTAACCCAAGAAGATATTAACGATGATCTTAACCTTGCCCTATCTCTTCTATGAACATTCATGTGTCCACCTAAAGCTTGAGCTGATCTAAACTCTCTTTTGCAAAAGCTACAGGCATAGTTTCTTGCAGGCCATGATGTTCCCCATGAGTGTTCCTCATATCCATGATGGTGATGATGATGATCTCTATGAGTAGTTGTTGTGTTTCTGTTCAAATAGTTTCCTTCCATGTTGAAGCTTTTTCTTTATGTATATTATATAAGATTGTCTTTTTCAAACCTGTAGAGAAAAGAAAAAAGAATAAAGTGAAATTTGACTATGTTAAAGGAATGATAAATACTAGGCCAGACGTGTGGATGTCTTACAAATTGATCAGAGAGAGAGAGAAAGTGATGATCCAAGAATAGCTTTATGTTGAAGGTTTTTTTTAATGTAGTTTGAGGGTGAAAATGAAGATCTCGTCAGGTGTACTTCATCTGCCACTACTGTATTTGGATGTTGCTTAGCAAATTAAATGAAGAAACTGTGTCAAAGTGGTTTTTGCTTCTTGCCACATTCTTGAAAACTTTAGACAGAATAAGAAATATATATGACTTCAAATGAGTGTAAGAGTAGATATGCAGCTCACACACTTATGATTATTGACATCACATCTTTAATTAATTTGCTATCACAATTTAATCAATAGAAAAACATACACTAGGTCACTTATAACAACTACTGATATATAGAAGAAAAAAAATTATTGTGAGTTGTCTATAATCTGCATGAAAATGCATAAATTAATCTTTTAAATCAGATAAATTATTTATTATTGATTTTGGATTTTAGAGTATGAGACTTAAAAGCTTCTCAGACGGTATTAGTCGACGAAGTCTTAGAAGTCGTGGTCAGTTTCGAAGAATGATGTTCGTTCTTGATCAAAAGTGGAAATGTTGATCAGTTGCAAAAGTAGTGGAGAACATGTACATTAAATGATTTCCAACCATTAAAACGTTTTGCTCCTCCTACTAAGCCTATGGCTCTAGGGGTATAAGTTACGGCATCACTTCCCTGCCAATGGTGCTCGAGTACTTTTGATTCTTTACTATTTCTGATGAGACAATTACTTTAATACCTTTAGATCTTCTCCCATTTTCAATATGGATCGTTGATTTGCGATTGGCTTTCTTATAAGAATAAGGTTTTTTTCTCCGAACATCTCTTTTCGCTTCATTTGCTACTTCACGCTCAATCCTTCTTTTCGGTTTTGTCTTTCAACTCCCTTACTTCATCGTTTGAACTATAGTTGCATGTCCTTAACATATTTTGAGGGAGCACCACTAATACAGTTATTTTGTTGTTTGTCTTTCGCTTTTGTTTATTATCATTTATTGAGTCGCTTTCATGATTGCATGTCTCTGAATCATATTCGAGTCGATTCGTTATTCATTTTAACATATACATAAATCAATATTTATATTCGAGCTTGATCATGATGCATTTAGTCAATTGCATGAGTTAGTGGAATAAGAACTATATGTGTTTTTGATTCAAGTTAAGTTCAAAGAAAAATCTCAAAGTATTTTGAAAACTATGAAAAATTGAGATATTGTGTTTGATTCGAATCAAGCACACATCCTGATTCAAATCAAATTGAACTGCGGAAAATCAAAGCTTTTTAAACACTTTGATTCGAATCAAAATTTACACCTGATTTGAATCAAGCATTTTTTGGTCACCTCTACTTGATTTGATTTGAATCAAACTTTATGTAACACCCTAAACCCCGCACATAAATTATCATAGAATTTAATCAAACAAAATACAAACCACTTAGAGTGTCACGCACAATCAAACATATCATCCTCTGTAACACATGTTATAACAGCACATTTAAAACCTATCATTGCATGCTCACCTTCACTTAGGGTATCATCGCAACGAAATTATCATTAAAGCAAATATAAGAAATATTAAAACTCATGACATTTAGTCTCATAAACTTCAATTTTAATAACATAAGCAAAAGAATGTTGGAACATTCAACTCAACGATCTTGAAATCTCAACCAAAACATAAGTAGTAAACTTCAACAAAACAAAACAAGTGAAAGAAAAAGTTCTCATCCCGATGTTACATGATCAGAGCAAGATCCTACTAATAAAACGATAAACTAATAGAAGTCACTCCAAGAATTATCTTCCACTTACTTCAGTAATGTCACTCCTGAGTATTTGCAAGTTGTCCATGGTGGACAACATTAAAGAAAAGAGCTGAGAATACACTTCAATAATTAACGGTAAAAGCAAACAGAGGTAGAATAGTACACAAAACAAATACACACGTTAATATCAACATATTAAATATTCTCATCCAATAACTCATCAATTTTCATAGTTCATATTTCATCAATTTTCATACATTAAAACCACTTTTTAACCAAAATCATGTTCATCCTAAAACCTTCGAAAGTTCGTCAATGGTGGATGTATGCTCAATCGTTAAAACAGAAAATACACACATGTGAGGCACACGAAATTCATCACAAAATCATCATACAACAATAATTATGGCATTAAAATTTAGAATTTTAATTAGAACACTCATCCTAAGGAGGTTAAGGATCCCCCGTGCTTTACACCTATTAGAGAAGCGTATATCTCCCTTTACCTTAGATTTCTCAAGCAAAATTCTTCAAAGCTCTTTCAATAGATGATGTTCCTATGTCCTAACCCTTGCCTCTTCCTCTTTACAGTGAATTCTGATTTTACGTATCAAAATCTCTCACACTCCCTACTGAACTTGTTATTAGTAACCTAATCCCTCAATTAGAGACTTTCAGCATTGCCCTCACTTATCTCCCTATTCACCAAAATTCTTTTAACGTCTCTAATTTAATTTTAATAAAAACACTACTAATATTCATTATTTTCTATTACTCTATTTTCTAATTTTAATTAAATAATTCAATTAGGATACTATTATTTAATTATTAAAACTAGACTCTAATAATTCGAACCCACCTCTAGCAATCTCTAATCACTCTCCACACTCTCACCTCAAGGTTACACACCCTTGGCACCTATATTAAATCAATTATCACACATAATAATTAATTAATCATAATAGTTCAAATGATTCGCTAAATTAAGAATTAGAGTGTTAAACTTTACACCTGATTCAAATCAGATAGTTTTTCAGTATTTTCTATTTGGCCCTGTTGCAACTGATTTGAATCGGGATTTGCACTTGATTCGAATCATGGGGTCTTCGATTCGAATCATACTTTGTTCTTGATTCAAATTAGGCAAGAAATGGGTCAAAAGTATTTTTTTTTCTTATTCCACTTCACTTGCTCATTTGACTCAAACCATTAAATATTCTTGATTTGAATCTAACAACTTTTTTCCACTCATTTTTTAGCTTAATATCAAGCGCATATAAAATTATTTTGTTATCATTCTTCATGTAAGATTTTCATAATCTATTTTTTGATTTTTTTTTATACCAAATTCCTCTCACTTTTGGAAACTTCAAAACCCTTGCAATCGAAATTCTTTCTTCTTCAACCTTTGTTTTGATTTCAGATCTTGACAATGAGAGATTTGTAATTAATGGAGGGAGACTCCGTATTAAAAATAATTGTTCTTCAATATTGGGTAAATTTTTCCAGGTTCTTGCAAGATTGAGGTTATTTTCATTGGTGCTGACAAATTCTAGTGAAAAGAAGGAGGTTATTCTCTCAAATTGTCTTAGTAGTGATTTTGTGGAAGGCTATGGATAAGGTAGAGTTATTCTCAATTCTTTTGACAATTTATCGCTCAAGGAATCAGTAGGATCAAGGTGTGATTTCTACACACAAAGGCTTAGAGCAGATTGGTAATATTGAAAGATTCAAGAAGCGTTAATCGAGTGAAAATTATGATCTATACAAGTCAAGATCTAGATAGAATATTTATTTTCTTCAGCATTATTAGGGATTAATGATTTTATGAACTTTTGCAATATTTGTCAAAATAAAATGGAACAGTGCAGGTTTCAATGGGAAACCATTAAAGAGTGCACGTAGGCAAAGCGCAGACGAACGTTGATGCACTATAAATCTCTCTCTCTCTCTCTCTCTCTCTCTCTCTCTCTCTCTCTCTCTCTCTCTCTCTCTCTCTCTCTCTCTCTCTCTCTCTCTCTCTCTCTCTCTTTTACTCTTGCATTTAATTTTTGTAGGATATTACATGCTTAGATTTTCAATTCTTAGAGTAGTTTATCAGTTTATTAAATTTGGCAGTGATTTATTACATAAGGTTAGGTTTTGTTAGAATTGGAACCTAATCGAGTTTTAGTGGTGATTAAATTCTGAGAAATTGTTGAATTTAGAATTCGTTGAAATTGAATCGTTATATAAACACATCTCATGCAGTATAAAATTGAATCAATTTAAAATATCTTTGTATATCATCATTAAATCGTCTTTAATATTTGTGAAGTTATTAATCATTAACGTGATCAAATTTTAACACGAGTATAAATATCATATTTTTGCTCTAAATCTTCCACGCGCAAACTATGAAAAATCTCTGACAATCCAATTTTGGAAAATCGGTTGAATTTATGTTTTAGACTATTCAGGCCCCCCTCTAGATTGTTTTCTTACTCCATATTATTACCAAATATGAACTTTTCTATTGCTTCCTTACTTGTGGTCAAGCTTTCTCTCCTTATTTTCTTCGAGGTATGTCATTTTCTTACCCTGCTTACTATCATGGTTAACCCAAAAGATGCACCCACAAACAACGCTCTTGAGCTTACTAGAAACGAGTCTTCATATTTAGTGGGAGTGTAGAATCCCAAATTCATGGACCTCCTTTATGCAACGAACGACCATATCATTGTCCTGATTGGGTCTCATGGAAATTTCGGGTCGAGGTTGGATTCTTTCAGCAATGAAGGTGATTCACTAGTAAGTGAAATTACTATATGGGCCGCTTTTTTAGCTCGTGCTAAGGTCAACCTCGGTATTATTTTGTCGGAGATAAGGGTGCGGGAGACTGGTTGCTTCATTCACTCTTTAAAAAAAACTCTTCCTGCCAATGTTCTATCGCTACTGATTAAACTGATTTATTTTGTGATGCTGACACATAAATTAATCAACCAGAGGAATTGATGGCAGCGACAGAGCGAGTGATTATTCCTAGGTCGGCCATGTGTATTTAGGGACAATTTCCCATTATATATGAGAAGTTGTTGTGAAGAA